AATCAGCATGATCGGACTATGGGAACGGGGGTTTATGGGGGGTTTTATGGGGTAAAAATAGGTTTTTCCCATTTTTGACCCTAAAAACACGAAATTTCACAATTTCTTTTTAAACCATTTTGTAGAGCTTAAAAAAACAAATAATTGAGTTTATTGAAGCGTTATTATGCGCCTAATTGTTACGGAGAAAATTCAAAAAAATTGTAATTTTGAAATTCCCATGTTATTCTTATGGAGAATAAGTCAACTGTTGTAGTTTGCTTGTTTATGAACATATTTTCATTGATTTTGGAAAATACTTTTATTTCTTACTAAACTATTATCATTTTATAAAAAAATCTTTTTTACCCTCCCTGTTGCAGCAAACCTAAGTACTCGTTAAACTAATTCTATTTAAATAGGAAATAAATGTGCTATTTTTATGGAGGGATTTTAGTGTAAATCCAATCAGGTTAATGGAAATTCGCTTAGTCTGCAGGTTTGCTGCGGCGGGGGTGTTTTGTACAAGACAAGCGTCTACAGCCTGACTGATCACTTATTGCAAACGAAAAAAATTGGTCACTGAAGAAGAAGAACCATCTTGTTGATGACTGCGGTCTGTCGTCTGTTGCTTGGCACAGACTTATTTACCTGGGTAGTGGGTGGGAGGGAACCCAGGTATAACGATATAACCTCAAAACGAACCAGAACAAAACCAACCAATACTATATTTTATTTTATATTATTTTTTCTTGAATCCTAAAATATAAATATAAGCTATTTTTAATGTTGGCGTTATCATTTATCTCTTAGTTCTTAATATTATTGCAACAACATTTGTTACTTGAATTTCCAAATTAGTAAGATAGGCCTAACTTGTGTTCTAATTAACTAGACACTTGCATACTTTCTTGGGTGAGAGGATTAACCTATTTTAAGCCTACCAGGATAGTATAATTTTATGTTAATAAACCAAATTTAATTCTGATTCGATTAAACCAATGGCAAATTTATAACACTAGTCTTAATGTGTTGAAAATTGAACTGTCCTCAAACCCATGTCATGACCATTTTTTACCAGGTCCTTAAGTAATCACGTGCTGTTTTAAGTAAATTTAATTTGGAGTAAATTTGCAATTTCTTCCATTAATAATGGTTTAGTTGAATCGTTAAGTTCCATCAGTAGTTCCGCGTTCTTTGAGACGTGCCATGCTTAAAATTCTACATTCTTCTCACCAAGGTGTTGAGTCTTGTTTAAGAAGAGCAAGAGAAGTGTTATTTTTAATTCAGTATTGGTTATACCTACAACAAGTTGGTCGCAAATTAGAGTATCTTCAAGGCCTGTCTTGTTGAGATTTGCTAAAGAATCAATGTCACACAATCGTATTTGCTCTTTTAGACGACCTATAAAGTCTTTAATCGTTTCATCAGTCTTTTGAACAATGACATTAAAAATAAATCTCTCATACAAAGAATTATTTGTCCCTAAAAAATACTTATCCAAAGCTTCAATTACCTGATCCAGGGTTGATTCATTGGAGCCAAGTATTCTTTCAATCAAACATAGTCCATCACGGCCAATTACTGTTGAAAACATGACCATCTTCAGTTTAGGTGTACTTAACCTTGTACCACCTAATGCTTCTGCTTCAGCTAATATTACATAGCTCTTCCATTGTTTCTTGAACACTTCCCAGTTTTCTCGTACTCGCGTTGGGTCACTTAAGTCCAGTGGATTCGGTACTACTGACACCATGTTCATTTATGTATTAATTAAAACTATTTTAATTAAATAATCAATTCGAAACAAGAAAGTGTTTATTCTGAGAACTCATAACATAAGATATTTAACAACTAGAGATCAGCTGGTTATAGCAATACCAACAATATTACAGAAGCTTCTTTCGAGAGTGTCTTTCAGAATAATTTATCTATAGAGCTTGCCAGTCCAAGAACTCTCCAACGCCGTAGAAAGGATGGTGGTGCAGCCAATCCCGGAGGTCTGTCTTCAGCTTCTCAGGACTGGAACTCTTGATTTCAGCTGGCATGTGGTTGAAAGATTTGGCTCCGATGTTCGAAGGCTTACTCTCATATCTTCTACTGTGGTGTGTAGGTAGATTGAAATTACAGGCATGCCGGGTAAAGTGCTGGTGAACATTATCATTCCGTGGTTATCTTGATTTGCAGGCCATGGTGACAACTTCAAGTATGTAAGTATTTATTAGTGTTAATATCTTTAAGTCCACGAATGCTTGTCTGCAACTTGCCCTTTATTCTAAGTCCGCCATAACCCGAACAGCCTCTTTCTGCAGAACTAACACACGTTGTAGGTTTTTCCCAGCAGTGGCGCCCCAAAGATCTATTCCATATTTAATGCGGCTGTCCAGTAAAGCAAAATAGGTGGTTTTTACTGCATCATATGTGCTAATGGCTTTAATATGCGTCTTAAAGCATATATACTGCTGCTTAATTTCTGACAGAGGCTGTTGATCTGAGATTAGAGTCTAATATTATTCCAAGGTGTTTAAGAAAGAGATCATGGCTGAGGCATTCGAAGGCTTTGCTTGGATCAAGAAATATTCCAACAATGCTTTCACCACTCTCAAGCTGATCAAGACTATACTCTACCAAGTCCACAAGGGCCGTCAAAGTTGATTTCTTCTTTCGGAAGCCGTGTTGATTTTCTAGGTCGATGCTGTTCCATCGGTCTTCGATTCGGGAGAGTATAACTTTCTCAATAATCTTTGAAAAGGTTATTTCAAAGATACTAAGAAAATAGGGCGGAAGTTCCCAAGCTCGTGTTTATTTCCCTTTTTATGTAGTGGTATCACCTTAGTGGTCTTCAGTTTACTGGGGAAGCATCCACTGGCAAGGCTCAGGTTGACAACATGGAGTAAGGGTTTCATTAGCTCGGACAAGCAGTGCTTCACCATCCTGGATGAATATCCATCTAGCCCCGAAGAGTTCTTGCTTTTCATTGTGCCAACAACCTTTCGCAGTTCCTTCTCAGTCGTGGGTATTAGATCTGTTAATGCGTGTGTAATATCTGGCAAATTTGTCTTTATGGTACTTGATCTCCCGGCCTGGCTGTTGTTCAATGTTACATCAGTTATTGATGTAAAGTATGAGTTGAACGCATTGGCAAGCTCTGAAGGATCCTCCACTCTGTGGCCTTCTTGAAGCGTCAAGTATTTAATTTCCATGTTATCTTGTAGCTTGGACCTTCTTTCACTATTTATGACCCTCCAAACTGCCTTTGATTTGCAGTTAGACTGATTAATATAGTTTGCTGTAGTCTCTCGTCTCAGGTCTCTTAAAATAAGTCAGAGACCTTCTTGAAGTGGTTGGCAGTCATCCTGTCCTCTTCTCTCCCTGTCTTAATGTAGGTTTCATGGGCCTGAAGGAAGGTGTCTTACAGTTTGGCCGCTTCTTCATTAAAAACGTGCTTGATTGGATTACGTGGGTTTGCTCTTGACAGTTTGAGTGGACATGAAGCGTTGAGAGCCATGGTAATTATGACCAGGAAGTGGTCAAACGCCATTTCAACAAGGTTGCTTTGCATAACGTCTTGCCAGTCCTGTGCTGCAAGTAGTGTCCTCAAACAGTCCAAGTTATTTGGGTTGATGACTCTACCAACAGTTGAATATGGCTTTATATTGTCGATACTGAGGCCCAGTTCACATTTGGCCACTGTGGTCCGAAATACCAGTGTGTATAACCCCGACATTAACATTATTATTGAAATGGTGAGAGACGCAGCACATGTCTATAGAGGTGGACGAGATGCTAGTAGTCCTTGTTGGTGGAAGCTGTAGTCTGAGGACATTGAAGGTTGATAGAATATATTCAAGTGCAGTTTTCTTTAAGGATGGTTCCATGCAGTCTACATTGAAATCTCCCATGATTACTATTGAAATATTAGGAGAGACCCACTGGTCCAAAATGTTTGAAAGTGTTTGAAGAGCTAAGGTCAGAGATTCCTTGTCCTCTCTCGGTGGACGGTAAACACCCAGAATATGGACAGATTTCCTCCTGCCAATACTGAGAGACACTGCAGAAACCTCTATTAACATAGGAATGCTGTGATGTTCGATATCCAGGGAATTGGTTTCATTCTCTAAATTGTCGCTCTTGAATACAGCTACTCCACCCTTAATAACGTTTTGTCTGCAAAAAGCTGATATAAGACCATAACCATTCACCTGAGTATTTTTAATGGTTTCTGCATCCTGACCATGTTCTGGAACAACCATTACATCCGGAGATATTGAATCTAATAGTTGATTAAGCCTCTCAATTTTGTTACTTCCGGTCTGTATTCTGATGAAAGATTTTTAGATTTAAACTATTTTTCTTCTTGAGTTCACAAATTGCTTCCCACCTCTGCTTATTAGTTTCCTTTTTGCTTTTGTTAACTGGGCTTCTCCTAAAAAAGTAGCTGTTGACTCTGGTGTTCATCTTGATGGGATACAGACTCGGCGATAGTGTTGTTCTTGAAGTTATTCTTATTTAAAGCTGCATGTTTTGGAATTTGCAGTTGTTGTCGTTCAGGGTTCGCTAATATCCGATTGACTAGCTTCATCAAATGCCCTCTGGGTACGTAAGACATTTTCAAGATTGTTGGACAGTTTTTTATTGACGTGGTAGTTTATTGACGTTGTTATTGATGATTTGAAAAGCATTATTTTTTGTTCTATAACCGATTATTACATTTGCCAATTCTACCAGGCCATGGCCTGAAGTTAAGGGTGGCCATGACCGTGGCCATGACCGTGGCCACTTACGGTTATAACTACTTCACTGTAGGAAAATGTGCTAAAACCAGTTAAGTAGTACAGTTGAAAAAGGATGTTGGAGAGAAAATCCTTATTGTATTAAGTATATATAATACTTAATTAGTTATCATCATAATCTATCTATCTATATCTATATAGATTGATGGATTATGGATTATAATGACAACTGTCGTATTTAAGTTTGCTTTTAGTGTTGTAGTGGTCAACCTGATCCCAAAAGGGTAGCGTAAAAATAGTAGGGAATGCTTTAGCTACTTCGCTTCGCCGACCCCACCACCGCCGCAGTTTTCTATTCAGTCCATCATCAAGTAAGTTTGTTAGCTTTATGTAGTGTGTCTAAAGTACGTGAGAAATTTAATAACATGTTTGAGTAAACTACGTAGAACGAAATTTTGAAGACCGCACTGTTAATGGGAATTTTGATATTCGCCTATAGGCCTACTTCGGATTATTCTGAACTCCTATTGATGAAACTTCTGACTCATAAAATCTGTTCATAACCTCATGATCTAAGTTTAAGTTGATGAAGATGGTTAAGTTATAAACCAGGTAGAATATTAATTTCAACAATTTAGCTCTTGGTAGGGCCTACTCTTCAAAACGTAATATTCTTTTGGCATTTTCACAACCGTTCTGTCTTAATAACCTGGATGTTAAATCGAAATCTTCAAAATAATTTAAAGTAAGGTTATAGGAAGACCAGAAATGCAAGCAATTAAAATAAATTTATGTTGGCCTACTACAATAATGCAGTTGTAGTTAGTTGGCCTGTATATCTAAAGAGACCACACTGTTTTGAATCTGTGATGGTCTTATTCTTCATTAATACATTTAATTTAATTTACAATAATTATTGTTTCACACTGTTTGCCATCAACCTGGACGGTGCATTTAGAAATGGCTTCAAAAAATCATGTGGATAGTAGCGTTGCTGAGAGGCGTCTTAGGCCAATTTATAATTGGTTGGATGATGGGAACAATAAAAAGGCTCTTCAAGAAGCAGAAAAGGTTTTAAAGAAACAACCTAACTTTCAGTGTGCTAAAGTTTTAAAAGGACTAGCATTATTGAGATTAGGAAAGGAAATTGAATGTTTACAGCTTCTAGATTCAGTCCGTAAAGATTTTCAGTGTGATGACTCTACGTTACAAGCAATGACAATTTGTTACCGTGAAATGAACCAACCAGAAATGATATGTGACATCTACTCAGAAGCCTCCAAGAAAGAACCAAAAAATGAAGAATTGCTGACACATTTATTCATGGCATATGTTCGTGTCTGTAATTACAAAAAACAACAACAAACTGCTATGACGCTGTACAAATTAAAGCTAAAAAATCATTACTATTTTTGGGCTGTTATGAGCATTGTAATGCAAGCCCATGAAGCTGGTCCTGAACTTGCTAATAGTGTACAGCTGCCACTAGCTGAGAAGATGGTTATGAAGTTTGTAAAAGATGATAAGATTGAAGCTGAACAAGAAGTCCAACTATACCTTATGATTTTAGAAATGCAAAATAAACTTGAAGACGCGATTCAAGTAGTTGAGGGACCCTTAGGTGAGATGTTGCATTCATCACTAACTGTTCCTACTAAGAGAGTTGAATTATTGATGAAAATGGAATGTTGGAGTCGGGCAAATGTTGAAATTAAGAAAATATTGATTGATGACATGGATAATTGGACATTATATCTGAACTATTTTCAAACTGTCTCACATACAGTAGACCTACATGCAAGTAGCAATGGAGTTAGTGATTATAATTCATCAGATAAAACAATTAGCGACTGTGTACAGTTTTTGAATGCCATCCAGAAAAAGAATCAAGATACTAAACATCCTCTGCGTGGCCCCTATCTTGCAATATTAGAATTGTATGTTCAACTTCAGGAGAAAGGCATTGATCCTAATGTACACTTTGGTGAAATTACAGAGTTACTACAGGCTTATTTTTATTGCTTTGGTTCAAAATCTTGTGTTTTGAATGATTTGAGGCCTTATTTGAATGCACTAACAGAACCTCAAGTAGCTTCTTTCCTTGGTGGTATTTGGAAATTTATTGGATTGGAAGATGGCCAGCTGCCCACTTCCAGAGAACAAATGCTAAGGTACATTTCAAACTTGCACATTTCACGTCACCTTGGTTTTCATGACAAGCTCACTAACTCAGCTAAGATGCAACTTTCAGACTGCCTTCTTCGTTACTACTTTCATGGAGCTCAATTCAACAGTCAAAATTTGCTTGCAACAGATGTTCGACACAATGATCCATTCATCATCCTGATAGTTGAAATTATGAACGATTTGTGGATGGAAACCGATAACTCTGTATACCTAAGGAAAGCTATAGCTATTCTAGAACATGCATTGTCTAAGAGTCCCTCAAACCATCAATTTAAAGTACTCCTTATCAAGTTGTATAATGTGCTTGGAGTCAGCAAAGCCGCAGAAAAAGTCTATGAGTTGCTAGACGTCAAACACGTGCAGTTGGACTCAATGGGCTACCTAATGTGCACACCTCTCCTATCAACAGGGCTGTACTATTTAGGTTCACATCTCATAGAACTGACTCTTAAGTTCTTTACTTCCAACTATAAAGACAGTGCTGATCACCTGACATTTTTGTACAAGTTCGGATCATTTACAAAAATTCACGAGTTCATCAAATTTAGGGAGCGCCTCAACAACTCATTACATTATTCATCTGTGACCGTAGAGAAGATGCTTCTGGAAATTTTTCTGGCATCATCATATCAGAGTAGTTTACAGATGATTGAGCAAATGTCAATCCAACCAGAAAAAGAAAGCATTAGTTTTCATAGCTTGGAGGACAATAGAGATTTAGATTTGTGCTGGACAAGTAATCCTCCCAGTAAACAGCTGTCTCAAGAGCTAATACAAACATCATTTCAAAATGAAGTTGACTTTTTGCGAACCAGATCAATTACACTTAGAATTATTGGAGGAGTGGTTCAACTCGCATCTAAGAATAAGCCTAGGACTGTTGAAAATGGAAACTGTGAAGGAGTGTCTTTTAAGCAAAGCGAAGAAGAATCTATGGGAACACTCAAACATCTTCATCAAGAAATAAAAGATTTATTTACTTCCCTCTCACAAAAAAAAATTTCTAAACTACCAAAAAATGTGATTCTCACTCCATCAGACTCTAGATTGTTTTACTTCCTGGAGCTACCTTTCTTTGAATTACTACAAACCCTTCTCCATATTGTCTTGATTATGAAAGTAGAAGATCAAAGTACTATTTCGAAAGAAGAAATTTCTGCAATTGAAGCCAACCCTGTATTGAAATTGAGTGAAGCTATATCAATTTTAAATACAGAATCTAAAAGTAGTGATTATTCTCAATTGGAACTCCGCTGCAGATTTCTTAATCTTCTGACTGTCATCGTTGAAATGGTTTCCATCTCTTGCCTGTTTTGTGGTGTGATGTTTGAGCTTGCCAAGCCATACAATGTTGAAAAAATTAAGAAGGGTAAAAAGAAGAAGGATTCCAGTGTTTCTTCACTTCCTTACATGTCAGATAAGACAAGTCCATCAACTCTTAGTGTTCGAGTTGCACACAAGCTATTGACTGTAACTCAAAAAGCACTACAAGAATTAGAAAGTGTTGTAAATGCAACGGAAGAAACCTGGAAAGAACCCTTGAGCATTGACAGTGATGTAACAAATTTAATGACTACTCTTAGCTTAGAATCTATTGATCCCGCTGGTGTATCAGACATATGTAGGGTTGAGGAATTAGCGTTTGATTCTTATCACTCATCGCTGACAGAAATTAACAACATCCTCAAGGTAAAAACTAAATTTCTATCAGATCTACAACTGTAGCAAAAGTAGGTGAGCCAATTATTAATGTGTTGGGTTAAAGAAAGGCCTATGTATGCTATAAAGATCTAAATTAAATTTTTAGTTTTTCTGTTAAACCACTATATTATGTCAAAAGGCTGTCATTACTCTTTGAAATAGGCCTAATTCTACTAAATGTATCTATGCTTTGGCTTACCTATGGAACTGAATTACCTTCAACTATAACCTATGTTAAAATCTAATAAGCTTGTAGGCCTACCCAACTTAAAAATTTGGTAATAACTAGACTAGCATATGTCAACATTTTTTAATTATAACATCAAAACATTAAAATAGTTATTTTGTTCTACTTTTAATAACAATTTTTTAGAACAGGTTCCTACTTAAATCTTTTAAATAGGCACTGAATTCTAATAAGGTAATATGATACTTTTTGTTTGAAATAGTTTTATAATTTTGTGGTTTTTAATGTCTGAACACATTTTTGTTAAATTAATAAACATCCTATCGATTGAGTACAGTAGAATCATTGACTTTTCGACACCAAAGTAGACATCCCATCTATGGACCAGCTGTTGTCATTTTTAAAATTCAAAATGAACATAGTTCTGTGAGCCGGTCACAGATTGCGCTAGTGTCAAAACTTCCCTTAGTTCTTGTTGTAATGAGATAGTTAATGTGACATAAGAGATGCTATAGCTTACGATAATTCTTATTAGGTTGACTTGATTAAAAAGTTTGCATATTTGGCAGATATCAGCGTAATCTGTCGTTGGCCCAATTAAACTATTATCCATTTTGATTTCAAAACTGGCGACAACTTTAACATGGGTATGGAATGTCTAGTTGTATAGCCTAAATATTTAAGATAGAATTTTTTGTTGGAGTTTAAAAAAATACAGTAGAGAGTCAAAAATCTGAAGTAAAAAATCTAAAACGTCAAAAATCCGAACCGCTTCTGAGAGTTTTAAAATAATGAAGAAGCACAGAGACAACAGATGTTTTACAATTTTGCAGGCAGAACAGTCGGCACTCGGCAGGGAAATGAGTGAACGGGCCGAGCCAGTCTGTGTTTTGTTCATTTCCAATGTACATATTTTTTCAAGAAACAAATTACAGTAATGTAGGTAATGAAAATACCTAAGTACAAAAATCATTGTTTTCATTTCATTCTCTGTATCCTAGAACTAACTGTATTTTTAATACTGTAGGCCTTAAAAATACAGTTAGTTCTAGGATAAGGATAATTTTTTAATACTGTAGGCCTGGGGGAACGAGCTGGCGTAGTGGCTATAGCGCGGGACTTCAGTCCCTGGGGTCCCGGGTTCGATCCCCGCCAAGTCACCAATGGATTTTATCTAAGTGACAATGCCGCAACCCCTAGGTCGAGCCTGAAGTAGGCCTAATGGGCAAAACAATCCCAGGCTCGTGCCTAGCGTCCAAGGACAAAAAAAAAATACTGTAGGCCTAGTTATGTGTTTATATTAGGCATTTCTAGGCTATGTTTGGAAATCCTAACAAATCGGTAATCTGAACTACCTACGGTCCCAATTGGTTCGGATTTTTGACTCTCCACTGTATTGAACTATGGTTTATGATTGTCTGGTAATAACTTTAAGTTGAATTTATTCAAACTTAAATTCTATAGTCATAGTAAGGCTATTTGGTTGCCTGAATTAATGTTTCATCTGCAATTTCCTATTTTGTTATGCATACTATCTGAATGTAATGTGTATTCTACTTTAAACATCTAGGATCTTAGACAATATAAATATGAAATAATTTTGTCAAGATGATATAACAAAGAAAAAGTTATTTTGGCATATTGAAAAGCAATCTCTATTTGCCAAAAATAATTACATATTTATATTTTTTAAATTACCTAGATGATATGTATCAACAGTAAGGCCTATATTTCTAAGAGAAGCTAAATTATTTAAAGTTTTGTCTTAATAGAGAACACTTGGTGATTGACTGTTAGTTAAATAAAATTTTACTGTACAAATTTGTAACAAACCCATTGCGCTTGAATAAACAACTACCATATATTACTGGTGTGTGTTTTTGATTTCAATGTGTTATTTCTGGACAATTAGCCTATTAATTAGGCCTAGTTCTTTGCACTTTCTTATTCTAAGCCAGAAACAATAGGCCTAATAAAGTTTTTTAAAGATTTAAAATTAGGTCCCGCTACTTGATATTATACAGTGGCCACCCTACGACAGCGCACTGTCATACTTTCTATCATAAATATAAAGTATGACTCATATGGTATCGTTTGATTCGTACCAATACGAGAAAAGTCCTACAAACTTATGATAACCCAACCTAACTTAACCGCCACAGCGTGTTGTATAGCCTAAGGGTGGCCTACATATAGGTAATACCAAAGTACCTGAAATCGAAAATTTTGTATACATTTAAATTATGATTTATGATTTGGTAATGTTTTGAAAGTACATAATTTGAAATAAATTCACACTTTGTTTGAATATTGTCAAGTCGACAATAGGTGTAGGCTAAACCTATTGTACCTAAGCGTAAAGTAATTTAACTAGCCTACCTAAAAAAAATCAAATCGGTAAAATTTATTTACCTACTTGAAACATTGATATTGTAACAAAATAGGCCTATTGAAGACCTAAAGCCAATGGAGTGATGATAGGCCTACAGATTATGTTTTATTATGAAACATTTGTATTATAGACCTATACTTTAAGTTAGTTGAATAATGAGTTTGTGGTACTTATCACCACCATTAAAATTTCAAAGGCAATTCATTATGTGCTGGGCATATTTCACAGATGAAATACAACATCTATCATACATTACATCTATGAGGTTTTAATTCATTACAGTCACACAAAGCAATGTGCAAGTTATAAAAAATACTTAATGAAACTAGATTACATCAAGTAAAATAATAGGTATATATTGGTACCGATAGTACAATTAAATGACCTGGTTGATGTTTAAATACCCCTGCCGCAGCAAACCTGCAGACTAAGCGAATTTCAACTTGTCTGATTACATTTTTACCAAAATATTTCCATGACATATTTATTCGCAATTTAAATACCGTACCTAACATTAGATTTAACGAGTGCTTGGGTTTGCTGCTACAGGGAGGAAAAAGTTTTTTTTGACCATACGTCTATTGTAATAAGATGAAATAAATAAATTTGCCAAATGTTATCAACATATATCCATAAACAAGTAAACTACAACAGTTTTAATTTTCTCCATAAGAATAACATAGGAATTTTAAAATACACTATTTTTGAATTTTCTCTGTGATCGTTAGGCATACAACAGCGCTTCAATATACGAAATTATTTCTTTTTTTAAGCTCTACAAAACGGTTTGAAAAGAAATTGAAAAACCTAAAGGTGAGAGAGCGTAGCGAACGAACTTCAACCAGGACGTAATTGAGCCATGCGAATACTTATGAAGTTAAACAGGGCAAAGCCCACGGATACAGCTAGTATATCCATAAACAAGTAAACTACAACAGTTTTAATTTTCTCCATAAGAATAACATGGGAATTTTAAAATACACTATTTTTGAATTTTCTCTGTGATCGTTAGGAATACAACAGCGCTTCAATATACTAAATTAGCCTATTTCTTTTTTTAAGCTCCATTTTTTGGGGGTTTTCCCATTTTCACCCCATAAAACACCACAAAACCCCCGTTCCCATGGTCCGATTATGCTGGTTCGCAAACTCGTTTGAATAAACGTAGGTTTACACGTTTGTACCAAATTTCATCAAAATCGGATCATTTTTCCTCGAGTTATCGCGCTAACGGACACATATATATATATATACATACACATACATATATACATAGGCCTATATGAAATTGAACTGATAGTGTTTTTGGCCTCTAGGGACCTCAAAACGAAAAATTAAATCGGTCCCAGGGTCAGGCCTTACCATGAGTAGGTACTACGGTAATAGCTTATTCCCTATATGGGAAATTCGCTAAAAGTTACGGATTCAAAATCTAACTTAGACCCAAAATTGGTTAGTTAAAAAACAAAAACTACTGACTTTTATGAGAATTTATCCATTAACTTATATACGTAGGCCTACTCGTCTTATCACATAACACAGCTATCACACACACAAGGTCAATTTGTCTCGTCTCTTGAATTCATTCTGGCAAAAAACAACAGTTTCTGATTTGTATATCGATAATAGCAGCCATTTCCAATATTATAGCTGAAATTACAGATAACAGCCAATTTACTAGAAGGATCTGGCAATCTTTTGTCAAGTTTTATAAAATACTAGTACAAGAAATATCTATTATGATATTAGTTCAGATTGGGATCAGAAGCCACAAAAATGTCATGTTTTCAATGATTCTGTCTTAAGTTTGTTTTTACTCTGTTTCTGGGAGTTCTCACCTACTTGTTCTTATGGTTTTTGTACTTTTATATTAAAGACAACACTATCTTTATTTTGATTCTCTTAAGTTGATCCTTGAACTTAAAATTGTTTTACTCCCATTTACTATAGTAATAATTTTTTAATACCGTACAACAAAACAATGAAGTGTGTTTTGCTAAGCCTAGTGGTTAGCGTCTCGGACTTTGGTGCGTAAGGGACGGGTTCGATTCTTGGCACACCCAAAAACAGTCCTGCCAGCTCTAATAGGCCTACAGAGAGGAGGTCCTCATGAGTGGTGCACCAGACCTGATAGCAGGGCTTGTCTTGTAGATTGAGAAACAGAAGTTAGAAGCTGTAAAAAATATGCCAGGAGAGTTAAAAGAATGCAATTTATACATTCCCTATTTAAATGTTCATGATTTTATGAACATTTAAAATGGCTGGAACTTGAACTGGAGTGCTGCACCCTGTTGGTAAATCTTATACATTTTTAGTGCTATTTAATATCATAGAACCAACTTGTGTTGTTGAAACAGCTGACACAATTCTTTAACTCCTTTTAAATATGAACTAGTGACCCCGTGCGGTTTAACGTTCCACAAAATAACATATAAATTGAGGAAAAAACATTATGTTATATATTTACTCTATGTAAAAAATAATACAGCAATAAAGCCTTAGAAGTCCAGCAATTTCATAGCTGTATGTGTCTTATTAAGTTTTCAAGTATGTCAGATAGTAATTTTTTAAAAGATTTAAAAATACATTAAATAAAACATTTTATGATATAAAACCAATTTGAAGCATACTTGAAGGACATAAAAATGCTGCTTGAAGAAAACCCCTTTAAAACTTATAACTAATAAACTATATTTTAATAACAAAAATACTTCCTTGAATACTACGTTTTTAGTCGTAAAGTCACTGTCAGGAAGATTACCCTGGTCAGAATTTTCCTGAATGATTATGCGTATCTCATTAAAAGATGTAGCTCTACTTTAAGCAACATACAGTTGCCCATTACTGAAAACTGGTCTGAGTAAGAACAGTGCTGCTCTTTAGTGATTGCCCTTGTGCTTAATTTAAGGTCATTACAAATGCCAAAGCTAACAGAAATTGGTTTCTTTCCATTTTAAAAGGTAAGTTTGTTTCCAATGGGCACATTTTTATCCTCGTCCCCCACTTACCTCACTTGTTCCAGTTAGGACTTTTTCTACTAAGCTGTTAACCATTCTGGTCACTTGGAGCCTTGTGCCATAATGAGGCCCTTTGATGTGTTGATATTCCTCATCAATAACACGACTGCCCCCTTTTTGAAGTTCATTCTGTGTCTCGGCAATCCACTGACCTCTATATTGTTTAAAAACACTGTTGGACATTTGTAAACTATTTAAAGATAAAATACCCCCGCCGCAGCAAACCTACAGGCTAAGCGAATTTCAACTTGTCTGATTTAATTTTGACTAAAATATTTCCATTAATAAGACATATTTATTATTCCCAATTTAAATAACAATAGATTTGACAAATGCTTAGGTTTGCTGCTACGGGGAAGGTAAAAAGTGTTTTTTTTTTTACCAAACCTCAATAGTATCTAGGATGAAATAAATAAATTTGCCAAATTTGACCAACATATATCCATAAACAAGTAAACTACAACAGTTTTCATTTTCTCCATAAGAATAACATGGGAATTTTAAATTTACACTTTTTTGAATTTTCTCCTTAACCATTAGGCATACAACAATGCTTCAGTATACTAAATTATTTTGTTTTTTAAGCTCTACAAAATGGTTGGGAAAGAAATTCCAAAATTTTAGGGTAAAAAATGGGAAAAATCCCATTTTTATCTCATAAAACCCCCCTTAAACCCCCGTTCCCATGGTCCGATCATGCTGGTTTGCGAATTCATTCAAATAAATGTAGGTTTACACGTTTATACCCAATTTCATCAAAATCGGTTCATTTTAGCGAATTTGTTCTTTAATCTTCCATTATATATATACAGGGTGAGGCAAGAAAGCGCCCCAATTTATAAATAGTACAAAATCAATACTATAGTACCCCATACATATAAATAGCACATCAAAACACAGCTTATCTTTTTCCATTTTAACGTAGCAAAGTCATTTTTCCATTTCTTGAAAACAAAATGCTTCAAGTGACGTCCTTGTCCTACTTGACATTCCTATTCAGTCACTTGAAAATGCCATTGAATACTCCTTCCAACATTTCTTCAGAAATCACTTTTGTTTCTTGGACAATTCAAGAAAATCTGTAAGGCATCTTTGAAGAACCTTAAATTTCAAGTAGCTTATAGGAAGAACCCCCAAAGAAAGCAAAGAGCCAAGGTAAAGCTTCCAACAACGAAAGCGTCCTGGCAAACCTCTTTTTGGACTTAGTTACTGTGACTCACACTCTTTCGACATTTGCTGGCGTACAAAGGGTTTTGCTGCACTCACCAATTTTTTGTTATGGTTAAAGCTGTTATCCTAAATAATTTTACCCAGTTCTCTATTATTTTCCAATCTGGAACAGCGCCATATTCACCAAGTATGAAATGTGGTCCAAACACTCTGGGTGTTTGCACAAGAATCACTTTTTTTAATAGGTTCCTACATCAAAATCTCAGTGTTACAAGCCTCAGGCACAAT